CATGCCACAGCTCTGATGCTGTTCATCAATTATGCACTGTAAAATGTGCCAAGCTGAGGCAGAGGAAACCTGGGCCTGATGAATGCGTGGATCTTACTTTGCTCAACCGTGTGTGTGTGTTTGTGTGTGTGTGTGTGTGTGGGGGTTTGTAGAGTTTTTTGATTTTCTGTGGTCATGGAATTGAAAAGAGTTGGCAAAGCCTTCTTATTTGATTCAATGAAGTTTCTGTATTTTGTAAAGTAAGCGAGATACTTTTATATATATATCTTTTGAAAAGATTTTTGGTAGATAATACCAAGCATTAAGGGCTTAGAAATAGTTTACAAATTTAACTATTTCTTATTTAGTAGGGTTTGAAACAAAGAAGAAAGAAATTAGGTATAAGCTTTAGTCCTTGTCAGGGTAGAATCTCCTTTCTGCATTGTCAGAGCTTGGATTAGCAGACTGGTAGGAAGTGTGTGAGACTATGAGTGCTGGCCGGCGCCGCGGCTCAATAGGCTAATCCTGCACCTGCGCCGCCAGCACCCTGGGTTCTAGTCCCAGTCGGGGTGCCGGGTTCTGTCCCGGTTGCCCCTCTTCCAGGCCAGCTCTCTGCTGTGGCCCGGGAGTGCAGTGGAGGATGGCCCAGGTGCTTGGGCCCTGCACCCCATGGGAGACCAGGAGAAGCACCTGGCTCCTGCCTTCGGATCAGCGCAGCGTGCCGGCCGCAGCGGCCATTGGAGGGTGAACCAACGGCAAAGGAAAACCTTTCTTTCTCTCTCTCTCACTGTCCACTCTGCCTGTCCAAAAAAAAAAAAAAAAAAAAAAAAAAGAGATACTATGAGGGCTGATCTTTGAATGGCCTGAGCAGAATAATTGATTCACCATATTTGAATTAGCTTATCATTTAACTCCTGTCAAGTGTTATACATACTCTGTACTTGTAGCTGCTGAATTTGGATCCTTTTATAATTTAATAAGTGCTATATACTACATTATAATTTGAATATTTCTGAATGAGTTGTGAACAATGTGATTTATATTGGTCTGTGACTAATGGAATAAATTTGGAAATAGCAAATGTTTATAGTTTGGGAATTGGCTCAGCAAAATTGGAGTGCAAAGTCAAGTGTTAACTTTTTTTTTTCTACATTTATTTATTCATTTCAAAGAGTTACACAGAGAGAGAATGAGAGGCAGAGAGAGAGGTCTTCCATCCACTGGCTCACTCTCCAGTTGGCCACAACGGCCAGAGCTGTGCCAGTCCAAAGCCAGGAGCTAGGAGCTTCTTCCAGGTCTCCCAAGCAGGGGTAGGGGCCCAAGGGCTTGGGCCATTTCTGCTACTTTCCTAGGCCATAGCAAAGAGTTGGATTGGAAGTGGAACAGCTGGGACTCGAACCGGCAGCCTCCCTGCTACGCAACTACATGGTTGCAAAGAACCAGGGAATCTGGCCATCTTCCATTACCATTCCAAGTGCTCCAGCAGGGAACTGAATCAAAAATGGAAGAGTCAGACTCTCAGCTGGTTACCAGCACTGCAGGGCGCTGCTTAACCCACTGTGCCACACACCTTTCCCCTTAACTCTTTTTTTTTTTTTTTGGACAGGCAGAGTGGACAGTGAGAGAGACAGACAGAGAGAGAGGTCTTCCTTTGCCGTTGGTTCACCCTCCAATGGCCGCTGCGGCCGGCACGCTGCAGCCGGCGCACCGCGCTGATCCAGTGGCAGGAGCCAGGTACTTATCCTGGTCTCCCATGGGGTGCAGGGCCCAAGCACTTGGGCCATCTTCCACTGCACTTCCCTGGCCACAGCAGAGAGCTGGCCTGGAAGAGGGGCAACCGGTACAGAACCGGCGCCCTGACCGGGACTAGAACCCGGTGTGCCGGCGCCGCAAGGTGGAGGATTAGCCTAGTGAGCCGCGACACTGGCCGCCCCTTAACTCTTAATTGATTTTTGAATCAAAACTATACTGAATTCATGAGATAATTTTTTTATTTAGTCTTTGAAATTGTAACTGTCCTTTCGAGGAGTTCGGTAGAATTTCTGCATAAAAAATATTTGAACATGTGGGTTTTTTTAAAAAGATTTGTTCATTTATTTGAACACAGGGTTAAGGAGATATCTTTCATCCGCTAGTTCACTTCCCAAATGGCTGCAACGGCCAGAGCTGGGCTGATCCAAAGCTAGGAGCCAAGAACAACTTCCAGGTCTCCCACATGGGTGTAGGGGCCCAAGGACCTAGACCATCTTCTGTTTTTCCCAGGTGTGTTAGCAGGATTGGGTGGGGAGCAGCCAGGACTCAAACTGGTGCCTATATGGCAGCAGCTTTACTGCTGTGCCACAAAGCCGGCCCTCACCTAGAAAATTTTAAACATCTAATTCCATTGCATTATGATTAGAGTATTAGATATCTGTGGATTTATGGACTTTTTTAAAAAAATTCATTTATTTATTTATCTGAAAGGCAGAGACAGAACCATTCTCTGGTTCACTCCCACAAATGGCTCCAGTGACTGGAGTTGAGCCGATCAAAGTCAGGATCCAGGAGCTTCTTCCTGGTCTCCCGTATGGTTTTCTAGGGCCCAAGTACTTGGGCCATCATCTTCTGCTACTTTTCCTGTCACATTAGCAGGGAACTGGCACCCATACGGGATCCTGGCACTACAAAATGGTGGCTTTAATCACTATACTACAGTGCCAGTACCAGTAATGAATATTTTATATTTATGCTAATTTGTGACCACTATTTTTTTTAAGATTTATTTATTTACTTGAAAGTCAGAGTTACACAGAGCGAAAAGGAGAAGCAGAGAGAGAGAGAGAGAGGTCTTCCATCCGCTGGTTTACTCCTTAGTTGGCTGCAGCGGCTGGAGCTGTGCTGATCTAGAATTTAAAAATGTCTTGCAGAGAATGTTGGTTGTTTCCTCTAATAGGCAGGGTTTGTTCCTGGCTGGAGAGCACACTGACCACTACTGTGAGCAGCTCTGTGCAGGAATCCCAGGCTGTTTCTTTGTCCCTCCAAATCATCCGATGCTTTTGCTCCTTGTCCCAGTTCTTTTATACTCTGGTCACTCTTTACATACTAGGCTTAGAAGCCCTAATGCCTTAGGTGAGATGAGATTCATGACATCTCCAAATATGAGGTACCTTGGCGCTTCACATCAGCTCAAATTCTGTAGTGAAGGAAATTTGTCCTATCCTCAAGAAATCGAGGAAGGAATCTTTCTTGTCGAGTAACTTTTAATGTCGTGTTTTTTTTTTTTTTTTTTTTTTTTTTTTAAGATTTATTTATGTATTTGAAGGAGAGAATGAGTGAGTGGTGTCTTCCATCTGCTGGTTCACTCCTCAAATGACTGCGCCAGGTGGGACTGGTTCAGAATGAAACCAGGAGTCTGGATTCTTCTGGGTCTCCCACATGGGTGGCAGAGTCTATGCACTTGGGCCATCTTCCAGTGCCTTTCTAGGTACCTTAACTGGGAGTTGGATCAAAATCAGAGCAGCCAGGACTCCAACCTCTGTGACAGTAGAGAATGCTGGCATTGCAGGTGGTAGCTTAGCTGGCTTCACCATAGCACTGACTGCTTTTTCATTTATTTTTTTTTTAAGATTTTTATTTATTAATTTGACAGGTAGAGTTAGAGACAGTGAGAAAGAGAGACAAAGGTCTTCCATTGGTTCACTCTCTAAATGGCCACAACAGCTGGAGCTGCACCAATGCAAAGCCAGGAGCCAGGTGCCTCTTCCTGGTCTTCCATGCGGGTGCAGGGGTCCAAGCACTTGGGCCATCTTCTGCTATCCCAGGCCACAGCAAAGAGCTGGATCGGAAGAGGAGCAACCGGGACTAGAACCAGCCCCTATATGGGATGCTGGCGGAGGATTAACTTAGTGCGCCATGGCGCCAGCCACTATTTTTGAGTTTTCGTTTTCACTTTATTTGCAAGGCAGAGACAGATCTTCCATCCACTGGTTCACTCCCTAAATAGCCTCTACAGCCAGTGCTGGGCCAGGCTGAAACCAGGAACCTGGAGTTGCTTCTGGTTCTCCTATGTGAATGCAAGGGCCCAAACAGTGTGACCATCTTCCACTGCTTTCCCAGACACATTAACAGGGGAGCTGTATTAGACTCAAACCAGCACCCATATGGGATGCCAGAAATATAGATGATAGCTTGACCATCCATGCCACAATGCTGGCCCCCTGGATATATATTTTCAGTTGTACTGGTATTACATTAAGTCTCTCCAGAGAAACAACCAACCCTATGTACGTGTTTTACAATTAATTTTTTCATGGAGTTAAGGAAACGGAGAAATCTTGTTAAGTGTTACATAAAGATGAATTTCTGTGCTATTTTTACTTAAAATGTCTTGAACTTTTAATTTTTATACATCTAGAAAGTGAAAGCCCTGAATAGTCTTTTCTACAATTAAGCTATATCAGCAGTGTCCACATGAAGAATCAGAATATTAAGGATGCATATTGGTTGTACCTACTAAGATGTCACTTTATGGGCACAGGGTTATGGTGTTGCATGTGTAGCCACAACCTGCATCTCCAACATCTCATATGGCTGCAACAGCTAGGGCTGAGCCAGGCCAAAGCCACAAACATGAAATTCCATCCAGGTTTCCTACATGGGTGGCAGAGGCCTAAGAATCTAGGCCATTTCTGCTGCTTTCCCGGATGCATTTGCAGGGAGCTTGATTGGAAGTGGAGAAGCTAGGACTCAGACTGGTGCTCATATGAGATGCTGCACTACAGGCAGCCGCTTAACCTGCTGCACCAGCTCCCTGTTACTCCTGTCCTTCTCCAGTTAACCCCTGGCCTGATTACCAACACCATACATTACTTTCACTTGTTTTCAAACTGTATTATAAGGTATGTTTGTTTTGTATCTGACTATTGTCAGTCCTGTGGCATATAACTACATATGGTTGCATTTCATACACACTGATAGCTGTGTCACAATAGCTTTCAGTTTTTTCCATATTGAATTACACAGTCTTGTTCTTTTACTTGTAGAAGGAGCTGAAGAGGAGAAAGTGGAAACAGATGTGGACAGTCAGCAGCCTGAGAAGGTAAAGTCTGAATTGTCTTCCAACCGAAAAGGCAGAGATCGCTACATCACAGCACAGTGATTTGGCTTTTTGAATCTCATCAGGGACTATAAATAGTTGTGTCATCCTCATGAACTTTGTTGGTATAAGCACAGTTCTCACAAGGGGCAATACAGGATATTTTTCATTTATTTATTCTGCGTAGATTCTCTGCCTCCTATCTTTTGTGTGTCTTTCAGGCACACACAGTTGGGACTCTGGATGTGAAAGTTGTGGTTGTAGTTTGTTGTTTTTTTTTTTTTTTTTTTTTTAATTTGACAGGTAGAGTTACAGACAGTGTGAGAGAGACAGAGAGCTGATCCGAAGCCAGGAGCCAGGTGCTTCTTCCTGGTCTCCCACGCGGATGCAGGGGCGCAAGCAGTTGGGCCATCCTCCACTGCCATCCCAGGCCACAACAGAGAGCTGGATTGGAAGAGGAGCAATCAGGACTAGAACCTGGCAACCATATGGGATGCTGGCGCCGCAGACAGAGGATTAACCTGCTGTGCTGTGGCACCGGTCCTTGTAGTTCTTGTAAATGGTGAATTATAGGGTCTGTTTGGTATACTTGTTCTAGAAGAAAATTAGTGAGTATGAAATAATTTTCTAGTACAGTTAATTGCCAGCAAGTGAATATTTAGAGAAGAGTTAATAAGAAGCTGACATTTGAAGTAACTTTTAATATGCAAGTGGAACTACAAGAAGTTGAAAGTGGAGGATAGGTAATCAAAGATTCCAGCTGAAGGGGGAGGGACAATAAGTCCAATATGTAGATGGTAGCAAAGTGCATGGATTGTTAGTGACACAATCCTGTTTCATAAGAGACTGTGCTGGGGCAAGTGCTGTGGCACAGTGGTTTAAAGCCCCAGCTTGAAGTTCCAGCACCCCATATGGGCACTGGTTCAAGTCCTGGCTGTTCCACTTCCCATCCAACTCTCTGCTAAGGCCTGGGAAAGTATTAGAAGATGGCCAAGCCCTTGAGCCCCTATGCCCATGTGGGAGACCTGAAAGAAGCTCCTGGCTTTGGATTGGGGCAGCTCGGGCCATTGTGGCCATTTGGGGAGTGAACCAGCATATGGAAAACCTCTTTCTCTCTGTTTCCCCTCTCTGTGTAGCTCTTTCAAATAAATAAATCTGTTTAAAAAGTAAAAAATAAGTTCATTTAAAAAAAGCTAGACTCTGCTTGCAAAATAAATTATGCAGAACAGGACTATACAGCATATTCAAGTTCAGGAACTCTTAATTCCTCATATTGTTACAGTAGTTAGTCACTGTTTGAGCAAATATATAAAATATAGGTAGGTATTTTAGGTATTGATTATGTGTTACATAATAAAATTATAAGGGTGGGTGTTGGCTTAGTGGTTAAGTTGCTGATTTGGATGCCCACATCCCATATCAGAATGCCTGTGTTTAGTCCTGGCTCCACTCCTGATTCCAGCTTCCTCCTAAAGTGTTCTCTGGATGCAGAGGTGATGGCTTAAATGATTTGTTCCCTGCTGCCTGTGTGGGAGACTTGGGTAAAGTTCCTGGCTCGTCACTTTGGCCTGGCCCAGCCCTGCCATCGCTGACATGTGGGAATTGAACTGGCTGATGGGAGATCTTGATCTGTTTGCTTTTCAAATAACTTGTTTACATTTATTTTTAAAGATTTATTTATTTATTTGAAAGTCTAAATTAGGGGCAAGGAGAGACAGAAATCTTCCATCCACTGGTTCACTCCCCACATGGCCACAACAACTGGGGCTGTGCCAACCTAGAGCCAGGAGCTTCATCTTGGTCTCCTTTGTTGGTGCAGGGGCCCAGCAACTTCAGCCATTTTCTGCTGCTGTCTGAGGTGAATTAGAGGGCAGGATCAGAAGTGGACCAGCTGGGACTCAAATCAGCATCCATATTGGATGCTGGCATTGCAGGCAGAGGCTTAACCTGCTACACTACAACGCTGGCCCCAAAATAAATATTTAAAAATATTAAAAAGTGGCCAGTGCTGTGGCACATCTCACGAGGCAGATCAACCCTTTGTGCCACAATAGCAGCCCCTATTTGTTTCTTTCCTAGTTCTTTTCCACAAGACCCCTTCAAATCTTTCCTATTTCTTGTTAAAAGTGGTGGAATCTTTGTTTGTCTAAGATGTCAGCTGTGAAACGACTGTTTTCATTCTCTCATTTCTTTTGGCTTTGTCCACCTTTCAGGTAGAAAATAAAGTGGAAAATGAAGTGGATGAAGGTGATAAACAAGATGGAGAAAATGAGAAACATGGTGAGAAGGAGCCCGACAGTGAAGTTAGCGAGGATACCAAATCAGGTAAGCTGAGTTATGTGAAACTGTAAAATGGCATAGGAGAAATGCAGAAATGCATAGAACTATTTCCTCATTGATTATGGCCTTGCTTTTTAATGCAATGATAAATATCCAATGAGTTTTATTTAGCAAATAGGTACCAGTACCACAAATGTTTTTTCCTGTTGGTTTTCCATAGTGTGTATTTGAACATGTTACTTGCCAGTTTGGTTTCCGTGTCGATTGCTGAGGTCCTCTTTGTGCCTGTGTTGAAGGTTTGCAGAATTACTGTGTTGTTAGCAACTGGTTTTCTGCATGCCCTGGGGTTTCCAGACCATTTCATTCACTGAGGAACCAGTGCATGGGTCTTAGGCTAAGTTCTACTGAATTCTCTCTTATATCCAGGGCGCTATGCCTGGAAGTCAGAGAAATCAAAAGACGGTAAGGTGTACTATGTAGAAAATGTTTCCCAAATGGAAGCAGACTTAAGTGCTTAGAAAAGTTTAAGAAAATTACTTTATTTTTTTTTTAAAGGTTTATCTTATAGATAGAGTTACAGAGAGAGGTAGAGCAAGAGAGGGAGAGAAGTCTTCCAGCTGCTAGATTACTCCCCAAATGACCACAATGCCAAAGCTGAGCTGATCCAAAGCCATGAGCCAGGAGCTTCTTCTAGGTCTCCCATGCAGTTTTCGGGACCCAAGGAGTTGGCTGTCTTCTGTTTTCCCAAGCCATAGCAGAGCTGGATTGGAAGGGGGGCAGCCAGGATTTGAACTGGCACTCATATGGGATCCTGGCGCTGCAGGCTGGGGTCTTAACCCACTGTACTACAGCACTGGTCCCTTTTTATTTTATTTTTGAATTATTTTATTTATTTGTAATGCAGAGATACAGAAAAGAGAGAGGGAAAGACAGAAAGATCTTCAATCCATTGGTTCACTCACCAAATGTCTGCAATGGCTGGAGCTGAGTTGATCGAAGCCAGGAGCTGCTTCCAGGTTTCCCACATGAGTGCAAGGTCCCAAATACTTGGGACATCTTCTACTGCTTTCTCAGGCCATAGCCAAGAACTGGATTGGAAGAGGAGCAGAACTGGAACCGGGACTAGAACTGGCTCCCACGTGGAATGCCAGTGCTGCAGGCAAAGGTTTAGCCCACTAGGCCACAGCACTGGCCCCACAAAATTCTTAAATAGAAGAAAAAGGCAGTCAGATCTTTTTGTAACATCAGTCCTAGTTTGTCATGAGACAAAAATAAGCGGGACTATGGATTATTGAGATTGAATACACTGGTAATAAAGCTTTCTGATACTTGCAGATGAAAAGGAGACTGAAGAGAACAAGGAACTCACTGATACATGTAAAGAAAGAGAAAATGAGATTGGGAAGAAGAAAGTAGAACACGAAATTTCTGAAGGAAATGTTGCCACAGCTGCAGCAGCTGCTCTTGCCTCAGCTGCTACCAAAGCCAAGGTTTGCCCCTGACAGCCATTTTCCAGTGCTGTCTTAAGCCATGAATAGTCATATTGTTTTTAGTTCATTGGGTACATTTAGGATAAAGAATCTTGCTCCTAGTAGGAGATGACTACTTTTCTTTGAATGACATTTCTAGGTTAAGAAATTCACAAGCAAGGAGAAGAAGGCAGAAAGAGTAGATCTGGTCCTAGCTGATGCCTTTCCTAGTTCTAATCAATTGTATCATTTAGTTTAGGTAAACTAAAGAGATCAAAGTAACAGTTGCAAGTCTCTGTAAGGGACTGACCATCTTTTTTACTTGCTACAGAACTTGTCTTGGACTGTTGCTCCAGTGATTTCTACCAGACTGAAATAATTGTGATTTTTAAGACAAAAATCTGTATAAATATCTTACCCCACTGATATTACAGACTGAAGAAAAAGAGTGTACCTAAAATAGCTTCTTCTCTTGTTGAAGTTGCCAGCTTTTCTGGGGGTGGTTATTTCTATTTATAGCATAGTATTGGCTGTACAGCATGCTTAAGACAAGAAAATGTTATTTTTCCCCACCTTGTGTTAATTTAGCATTTTAAGGCATTCCAAATATGCATATGTGAAGTTTTAAAAACCTTTTTTTCTATTCTCCCTTCTACCTCAGAAGTAGTTTCCTTTCATAATAAGTCACCACATTTCAAGCAACAGTGCTTATGAGAACATTCCTAATCATTTTATCTTCAGCTGTTCTTGATCCTTTAGTAAAGATACTCTTTAATGGTCTTTAATTCCCTCAAACAAGTCAGCTACTGTGAATTACTGTAAGTGTTCAATGTGGGGAAGCAACCAGTTCAGACGACACGACCACAGTTTTTAAGTACCCACCCTCTGCATGTGTTGAGAGCGCACAGGGAGGGGTGTGCACAAGCCACAGCACTGCTTCCTCACCCCAGAAAGATGCTTTGGCTAGTGATTGTTAGTTAACTGTAGCTTGGGGACCTGATTCAGTTCATACTCACCAGCCTCCTGAATTTTACAGTTTTTAAGCTCTGCTTTAGGTTTCTCTTTCCTATTACTCCCACATATAGGGAGTTTTGAGGAACACTCTTGGTTTACATGGGTGCTGGTTTTGTTTCACACTGGCCTTGTTTTCTCCTTTATTGGAAACATCTGAGTCTGTCTTTTGCCACATTATTCTCTTTGGGCATCTCCTTGTCTCTGAGCTGACTTAAGCGTTCCAAGGCTCTTATAGACCTTAAGGTGTCTTGAGCATATTCTCTCTTTTTATAAATGAGGAGCCAAAAGCCACAAAAGATTTTCTCCATTGCGCCCTTACCTAATCTTCTTGTTTTTTAGCTTTTCCTTGAAGTGTAGCATACCTAGGTGGATGTGCACGTTGATAGTACAATGAGTTTTTCACACACCAAGCTCATTTATGTATCTAGCACTCAAGAAACAACATCACAACACTACTAAGTCCAGAAGCACATTCTCGTATTCTCTTCCAGTTACTGTGCCAAGAGTAATGGCCTGTCATTTTTTTTTAAATAATTGGTTATTTATGGTTGTGTGTGTGTGTGTGTGTTTTTTTTTTTGTTTTGTTTTGTTTTTTTTTTTTTTTGACAGGCAGACTGGACAGTGAGAGAGAGAGAGAGAGAGAGAGAAAGAAAGGTCTTCCTTTTTTGCGGTTGGTTCACCCTCCAATGGCCACCGCGGCCGGCGCGCTGCAGCCGGCGCACCGCGCTGATCCAATGGCAGGGGCCAGGTGCTTCTCCTGGTCTCCCATGGGGTGCAGGGCCTGAGCACTTGGGCCATCCTCCACTACACTCCCTGGCCACAGCAGAGAGCTGGCCTGGAAGAGGGGCAACCGGGACAGAATCCGGCGCCCCGACTGGGACTAGAACCCGGGGTGCTGGCGCCGCAAGGTGGAGGATTAGCCTAGTGAGCCACGGCGCTGGCCTATTTATGTATTTTAAAAGCAGAGTTACAATGTATCCACTGGTTCATTCCCCAAATGGCCGTAGTAGCCAGAGCTGGACTAAAATCAGGAGCCTGGCACTCTATTCAGGTCTCCCACATGGGTGGTGGCAGGGACTGTCTTCTGCCTTCCCAGGCACATTTAGCAGGAAGGTGAATAGGAGAATGGAGCAGCTGGGATTTGAACTAGTGTACTTGGCTGTCCTTTAACAACATGAATTAGCCTCTCCTGTTTTTGACTAAATATAAATGGAATTTTATAGAAGAAATCTTAGGGAAATAGGAAATTTGTCATGTTGAATGATTATAACCTCTGCATCTCTTGGGCTGAAATTTCAAAGTATTCCTTATGGGATTCACAATTTTTTCATGATTGAACCCTTCTTACCTCAAGTCTCTTCTTACCTGTCTGGTCTGATCTGTTTTCTGTTTTTTAAGATTTATTTATTTATTTATTTATTTGAAAGTCAGAGTTAAGAGAGGAGAGGCAGAGAGAGAGAGAGAAGTCTTCCGTCCGCTGGTTCACTCCCCAGTTGGCCTCAAGAGCTGGAGTTGCACTGACCTGAAGCCAGGAGCTTCTTCCTGGTCTCCCTCACAGTTGCAGGAGACGAAGGTATTGGGCCATCTTTCACTGCTATCCCAAGCCATAGCAGAGAGCTGGATGGGAAGTGGAGCAACCAGGTCTCGAGCCAGTGCCAGTATCGGATGCTGGCACTTCAGACCAGAGCGTTGACCCACTGTGCCACAGTGCTGGCCCCCTCATCTATTTTGTACCTTGTCAGTTCTCCAAACAGAATGCAGTCTCGGATCTCTAGTTCATCTCTTTGCACATTGTTCCCTCACAAAGCATGGTTCTTGCATTCTTCCTTCCTGCTCTTAGCCCTTTATCCTGCAGTGCTTTGACTTTGCTGTGTGTTGCCTGAGAAAAAAACAGAAATGGTAGACACCTGAAAAACTGTTTCAGGTGCTTTGTGTTTTCCTGTGGCTTTACAGCTGGTCATCTATCTGTACAGCTTGGGGCACAAATGTATGCCCATTGTGCACTAGTAGCCATCTCACAAGAAGTGTTTGACTCATTCACCACAGAAAAGCTGCTTTTATGGATCATATGTCCTGGTCCTTTCACATTCAGAGTTTGGAAAAGTGTCCCAAAAACGCTTTCTTTCAAGTTGTTGAGTTTTCACTCTGACATCAATGACTTTATTTCTAATAACTGGCAGCTTGTGTCTTCATTCCCCAAACACCTGTGTTTTCCTCTGATTTGTCACAGTGGTACAAATGCTCATGCTACATGAGTTGGCACACATGGACTAGTTGGTCCCATTTTTACAGCTGGATCTGATGCCTTTCTCGGCACACATAATCATTTTTGTGCTACATGGTAATTGGGGGATAAGGAATTCATTTAAATTACTGTAATTAGTATAACAAATCCAGCCGAACCAAATTTCTCTTACTTTCATTTTGTTCTTCTGTGTCTATAAACAGCTTTGTTATTATGTTTTCCTTGATAATCGTTTGTCACATTCTGTCACTGAGTGGTAATTAGAGGTTCTAGATCTAGCTCCGAAGCTGATGAGGTAGCATGCTGTCTGGCTTCTCCCTCTCCTTGCCATGTGAGAGACTTTTCCAGAACATGTCAGTTTTTTGTTGTTGTTACACCTGCCAACAAACTGAGTTGCCCCACCTGGAGGAGTAGTGAGTGGGTGTGAACAGGAGCACCATTGGCTAAGTGCCCTGCATCCCTTCCATCTGGATGGTTAGGCTTAAAGGGAAGGAAGGCCCCAGAACTATTGCTAGAATAAACTACAGACCTCAGAAACAATTTTTTTTTTAAGCAGCGATAGGTGTCTTCCAGGAAAGCAGATACCAGATTTTCTTAAAACCACAGTCATTCTTTATTTTATAAACTATATCATTTGTACTTACTGTAAAATGACTGTAGTGTTGACTGAGTGTTGACTCTGGGGCATCAGGAAGACTTTCTACGCCCTCAGAAATATCCCATAATTTGCTCATTTGTGCATGAAATTTTTCCCGGATACATAAAAATTATTACTGTATATTGTAGCCACAAAATTTTCACAGGTAAGTTTTGATAAAGGCAATTTACACTAAACATATTGACAGTTGATACCCTGTCTTTACTTGATAATATTACAAAGCAGGGTAGGGAGCATGGAAGGGAAAATGGGCATTTTTGACTATTTTGCCTACTGTTGGCCCTGTCCACTTTATTTAAAAAAAAAAAAAAAGATTTATTTATTTTAAAGTCAAAGTTAGAGCAGAGGCAGAGAGAGAGAGAGGTCTTCATCTGCTGGCCCACTCCCCATTTGGCCTCAAGAACTGGACCTGCACCAATCCGAAGCCAGGAGCCAGGAGTTTCTTCCGGTCTCCCACATGGGTGCAGGGGCCCAAGGAATTGGGCCATCTTCTACTGCTTTCCCAGGCCATAGTAGAGAGCTAGATCAGAAGTGAAGCAGCCGGGACTCCAACTGGCACCCATTTGTGATGTTGGCACTGCAGGCAGTGGCTTTATCTGCTATGGCCCCAGCTCTGTTCACTTTAATAGAAACTATTTCTGTTCTACCCTTTGGAATCCATACTTTGTTATATAAAGTTCACCCAATCTTTTTCCAAGTTACTAGTACCTTCTTATTAAACATTTTCTTAGGTTGTGTTCCCCACATCTCAGGTGTTCTGTGATATACTCCCAGGCCTCATCGTTTTGCTCATGTTATATTGTGGGAAGCAACTGAGACTAGACTGAGTTACTGGAATTAAGACTTACTCTATGCATCTGCTCTCCCACAATATGGCGCTGGGGAGGAGTAAACTTCTACGCAGCTGCCTCTGCCAACTTGACTAATAAACTGCAGGAGCTGATCCTGCTCCTGATTGCTCGGCGTGTGGGTAGCAGAGTTGGGATTGGTGTAAGAGGACTATAAAGGAGGAGAGAAATAACATGCACCAGGAACATCTGAAGGGAACACCTGAGGAACATCTGAGCAGCCCCCTAGAGAGCCGGCCGGTGGTGTGCCGCTCCT